CCGCAAATGATTCTGCGAAGGCCTCCTGTCAATTATCCAACAGCTTTCTCACTTCACACTATCAGAACTCGACATCCTCCCTCTGGAAGGGCCGCTTGGCTCTCATTTGATATAGATGTTTTAGTTTAACAGAGGAAATTTGGTTACACTTCTTATTAACTACATCCTGATGTGTGTGAGGGGAAGGATTAGAGCCCGGCGTTCCATTTCAAGAGGTGCCGGGCTGGAATCCTCCAGGTAGAGTGATAGAGTGCATATCAGAATTTAAACAATATGGCGGAGGGAAGGGGGGGGCTGGTTGGGGTGCAGAGGCATATAGGGTTAAGGCAGGCACAAACATGCAGAGACATTCAAATCATCAGTTCCTGTAGCCGTGTCTTTGACAGCACAAGTTCAAGGTGGAGGATGACGGCGACCCCTGGGGCCAACATGGAAACACGGTTCTGTTTGACAGCGTCTGCCCTCAGATGCTGCTCTATAACAAAAAAAAAAAAACTGACTGCACTGATACTACTACTGCACGTACTACTGCACGTACTCTGTGTGACAAATGAGTTTGCTGAATGATACCTGTGCTGCAGATATGCTGATTGGACAGTGATTACTGCAGTTTCAACACTTCTGATATTAGTGTGTTCTTTGGAAACTGAACCGTTTCTCCTTCAACACAAATGAACTGACTGTAAATCACATTTCTTGGCTGCTAATAAAACCGATGAAAGTCAACATTAGCGAACGGTCGAGTCCAATCCTGTGACCTCGGCAACAGTAAACTGGTCGACAAGTTTTTCTGGAGGTTGAGGAAGACTGATACTGGTCAGTTTTAAATTCTGGATAAATAAACTGAATCTGAATTTCATTCAACATTCCTCATTGCATCATACAACTGAACTATATAAATTAGCAGGGAAATCATCTATAAAACTCATTTGTTGTACCATCTATGACTGATGGAACAATATTTCTGATAGTTGGTTTATATTTTTAAAAATTCATTTTACAAATTCTGTCATTTCAGCTCCTTGAATCTGTTTTTATTTTATTTTTATTTTTTGTACGCAACAAAACTTTTAAATCAGTCAATTCATATGGTTTCATTTCCCCCCCAAAAAATCTAAATTACTTCTAAACAGGTATTATTTTAACGGAACACATAATCAGTCGACTATTATTAGGAAAAAAATGTCCTAATAATAACTCCAGTAATTAATATGATTGCTGTTGCTGCCCCAGTCAGAGGATGACACTGACTCTGTTTATTCCACAGCTTATTTTATCATTTAGAAAATGATAGATCAGGTTTTGACACCTTGTTATTCATTATTATTATTAAGTTAGCTAAAAATAACAGCTTTGTCAGACATTTTATAGAGAATACAAATGTTTCTACTCACACCTGGACAAACTGAATACTTTTTTTTATAACCAGCCAAACGTTTAAACGTTTTTTAACGTTTTTTAATTAATTTCTGATTTAATTAAATTTACAAATCTCCTGATGTCTTCTTTATTAGAGTAAACTTTTTAAAAAATATTTCTTTGTTTACTCACACACATTTGTGCCTTTTCTTTTTTTAAAAAAAGATCCAATTATCCGATGATATGGTTTTGGTTAGTCGCTCTTTATTTTCCATCCCTTTAAAATAAACGTTAAAAGAATCCTGTTTTTTGCAGGAAAGCGATGAAATGACGCGTTAATGTTCAGTTGTCATTGTTTTCCTTCAGGACGGAGTTCGTCCCCGCTTTCCACGGCATTTATATCAGTGCATTTAAGTCTATTGACCGATCATTAAAGTTAAATACCTTATTATTATTAACGACAGCCGTTTAGTGGCTGCTATTGAAGAGCCGGGCTGCAGTGTAATTGAAAAGCGCTGTGCAGCAGGAACAAGTGGTTATTGATAAAGTGTTGTCCCGTAAATAAAATGACAGCGGAGTTAATCCCGCAGATTAAAACATCTGTCTTTTCTCAGCCTCGTCAGCACAACCTTCCACAAAGTGAAGCCTTCAACATCTCAGCGTTTAATCAAATATCGACTGGCCTGCAGGATGACGTCATGTCACCGTTACCGTGCTGCTAGGGAGAAAAAGTGCAACATAAATTTGACGGGGTTGAAACTACAGCATCGGACCTTTTCTCAAATTGAAAATCGTGGCCAAGAAAAGCACCGGACCATCGGTTAAGCGGTGAACCGCAGCGCGCGCGCACGGTCCGCGGTACAGACGCCGGCTCTGACTATCCCGGGACGGGACAGGCGTGACAGCGGTGATGCTGAGCCCCAGCGTTAACACTGCTGCACGGGCTGCACACCTCCATCCTGACCCGTGGACTACGCCGCGGCTTTTAGCCGGGTTTGAGGTGAATTCCTGCAGACAGGCGTTCTGCACTTGACTCCTCAGCCTTCAAGTTCAACCACAGTCAACAGACAGACGGACGGCACTGACACAAGGACGGGACAATAACGCAGGGACAAACAAACACACCGAGTCAAATAGAGGCACAATCAACCCAAATAAACTCGCTTAAAAAAAACCGTGAATATTCCCAGACTGAACACTGACAGAGATGTTCAACTGCTGGAGTGAACAACAAAAACAAGCTGTTGCACAAAAAAAAGGAAAGAAGCACAAAAAAAGTAACAAGAGCGCGTTTCACAAAGACAGCAGCCGTGCAGAGGCTCGCGCACCGGCCCCTCTCCGGGCGCGCACAGACGTTTCAACACTCACCACACAAGTGTAGAAAATGTGAAGCAGTCTCTGAGAAGAAACCACGTTGGACTGAGAAAAGATTACAATACGATCTATTTAGAGAAGCATAACGTCACCCCGGGGTGACGTCACGTGGGATTCCTGAACTTCTAAATCATTGCGGTCCGTTCGGAGGCGGCGCCAAGGGCGGAGTTTGCACATGAACGCCCCAACAGAGAGAGAGATGCATGGATGGGTGGATGGATGGATGGATGGATGGATGGAGCAGAGCTGGAGCTGGAGCTGGAGCTGGAGCTGGTGTGGTGGGACAAGAACGACCATCTCCACCACTGACTGTTGAGAATAAAATTTTTTTTACAACAACTAAAAACATTTCATTAGTACTCCCTTAACAGGACGAGACTTTTTAACATCCCCAGTCTCACAGGCGTCAACAACAAATTCTGATCTCGTTATATTTGACATAAAGACATAAAAATATCTTACAAAACTGAAAAAAGTGACAGAATAAAAGTTCTCAGCGTCTCAAAGCAGTATTTACTAAACGCCGTCACATTTTTAGCAGACAGAGTAATGCTGTTAACTTATGAAAAAAACCCTTAAAATGGTTTGTTCTTCATGTTTACTGAGTCGGTGAAACGTTACCTAATGTTCTAGGCCGTCACTGTGGGGAAAAATAAATTATATTTATGGTAAATAAAAAAATTAACATTCAGGAAGCTGTTTATTCATGCCAAAAAGGGAAATTCACGATGGAGAAACCAGCCCCACTCTGAAAGACAAGGGTGTTTTGTAGCATTATGGCATATGTGTCAAACTCAAGGCCCAGGGACCAAATGACCTACGGACTGGTACTGGTCCACGGACCGGGGTTTGGGGATCCCTGATCGATACAGTCTCCCATTTATAACCGGCCCTTCAAGGGGAGCTGTATTGATGATGTGGCCCCGGTGGAAATGACATTGACACGCCTGTGTTATGGAGATTAATCAGCACGATAACGTAGCCCAGCATCTCAGACATCAACTTCAGTTCTGAAACTACGTGAACACACACTGGTGTTAGGGCCTGTAGCTCTGTGTTGTCAGTGCATCAGCGTAAATTACTGTGTGAAAAGTAAATATTTTAGTTGCTGCTGTTAATGTGCTGTTTGTACTGTCAAATGTCTAAAAGTAATACTGCTTAGCAACAGGTTAAAAAAGGAAACAGAACAAAAAAACAACACAATTGTTGAGTAGGAACGACAGAGACATTAAGTCTGGTTTGAGTTCAAGTTCAGGAGTTCAGTTTTTATCTGATGTCAACTATAAAAGTTCTTATCAAGAAAAAAAATATGAAGTCATCAAAACCTGCGTTAATGGTTTCTCGTCTGCTTCGTAGTAAAGGTTACATAGTGCTGAATGTAGCCTGGTAAGCCGTGTCCTAAAGTGGCCGGTGCAGCCCGTCTACTGAATCACCGCAAATGAGATGCTCGGCTTCTATTAACCACATATTGCTGTGGAGCTACTGTATGTGTTCAGTGTTTTCTAGGTTGGAACAATTCCAGGTCTGGATTTCTGCTGTGTGGAAGTTTAAAGAAAAGTTTGGGAGGTTTTATTTTGGTGCCAGGAACCTTTTAAGATTAGACTTCAAAATTAGAAAACAAATTAAAATCCAGCTAATTCATCACTTGTACGGAGGTAGTACAATAAATGAGTCTCGACTGCCGGAGCTGAGTTTTCAGCTCCAGCCACTGGTAATCAGTTTTGTTTGTGAGATCTTCGATAAAATCCATACACAGTAATATAACTCCACTGCACAACCTGAACAAACAGTCCATGAAAAAAACATTTGCGTTACTCACAGCCGTCACACGGCTAGCATGTGCAGTACAGCCAAAGAAAATAAGCATATCTGATCATTTAGCACAAGGTTAAATGAACATGTGGTACATCATGTAAACACTAGAGGCACTAGAAGGGGGTTTTCAACTCATGCAATATTGGGAGACCGTCGGAGAGGTTCTACAATTTTCTTACAATATTTACATAAAAATAATGACGAACAAACAAATTTACGAACAAACAACTCAACACACTGTGCCCCAAACTTCCGATACCTCTTTTTTCTCCTCCAGTATGACGGGGCGTTAGTGTCCCCATCAACTGCATGTTGCTCAAAGTTAAGTTGAGCATTTGTTAAGTTAAGTTAAGTATCAAATTGGACGGTTTATAGTTGTTTTGTCGATTATCGATCCTGAAATTTTAGCCAATATTGATACCGATTCTGAGTATCGGATCGAGCCATCAAACATATCCAGTGTCCTGTCTATCACTCAATTCAAAATCTTTTGATTTACCGACAGACATAACTCAGAACTGTCCGTCCATAGCCTCAAGCCTTCTTTAGGAAGAAGTGGGCGGAGCAAATAGTGGCTCATTATCATTTAAAGGTGAAGGCACAGAAACCATTCAGACATCATGGAACCATAATAAAATATGTTCCCTTGAACAGAACACGTGGAACAAATCTGCTTCACACTTCTTTATCTAAGACAAAACACTAGTCACAGCACATTAGAAGAGATTTGACACTACTAGTCACAGCACATTAGAAGAGATTTAAGCGGCGTTGAGAGTACAGCGCAGTGACGATCTGGAGCCAGCAGGCTGTGATTTCTTAGTCCACAGACACTGGCAGTGAAGCCACCCTCAGTTCAGCGGATTAATGACTGCTGACACATTAAGAAATGTTTACCACTTGCCTGCGACCACTCCGGCAGACGCTCTAAGAGCTCTGTCACAGAAACAATAACGCAGTCTGAGAAACCCTCATAACTCTTCTCCTCCGCCTCTGTCTTTTAAGCAGAGCTTTAATCAAGCTTTATGACATCCTTTTGTCTCTTTATTGCCAATATATTTCCCAACCAATCCAAACATTATGCTCCCAGAGGAGCAGACAATTAAGGCTGAAAAGAGCCGATACAGTTTGGGTCAGTGACCCGCACTAAAGAGGATTTGATCTATTTTATACTAAAACTGCTGTTATTATGCCCCTGTGCAGTGCTTTTGAGCAGCATCACCTGGGTAGGATCGGTACCTCTGAAGATGTTTTGTTGATGGAGAAGCAAAAAGTGAAGGAAGCATAAAAACCAATGGCATTATGTTGTTTAATAAAATCAAATATCACAGTCTTGTTGGAAAAAATCTTGTCCTATCAGTCCGGCATACAGCATTAAAACAAATTTCACAGCAGAAGTAGCTGGCTAGTGGAGCAGAGAAATACATCATTGAGCGACGTTATACGCGGGAGGTTCTAACCCATACATTGGATTGTGCTACATTTGTTTTCATTCATTTGTATTGGGTTTTTTTTGTGGAACTTCTTGCCTTTCGTTGTAGCTTCAAGTGTAAGTCAGTGTATCCTACTGCAGTTTGAGACCGCACGAGTGGCTCTGGGAGAAAAAAGGAAATTAGCATTGGAGAAAATATAAAGACAAGCATGAAATATTTATTGACAATTTCATCATCTACGCAAAAACTCAAACTGTAAAATTGACTGTAAAAACAAAATAAATTCAACAGGCTTAGGAAACAGTGTGTATTTCTCACTCTCTGCATCTGTGCTGTGTTTAAATTCATCAACTTGGCCCTTTGTTGTGTTTTCATATGTGTAAAAAAAAAGAAGCTATTAGAAAAATCGAATCATAGTAAAGACCATAAGAGACATTAATCCCAGTGACAGATTATTCAGTTTGTTGTACCAAAGCTTACTGGCTGCTTCAAATGAATCCTCTTAAGTAATCAGAAACAGACTGAGAAAATAAAATGGGGAAAAGTGTGGCGAGTGTGTGAGGTGGATGGATGTGTGATGGAAAGATAGCAGCAAAACTGAAGACTCACTTGAGAGATCTGCTGGTGTTTACTTAATCCTGTAACATTTACATCAACATGTCAAAGGATATTATTAACAGTCACAGACAGTGTTGTCTGTGAATGGGATTCATGGGATAACACAACACTCCTGTACATCCTTCATGTGGATAACAATCAGAAATATATGCCTTTCAAAATTGTATTAATTATTGATGGATAACTTTTTATAACTTAATAAATAGAATTATTACAATATACAATTTCATTACTACAATATATTGTAAACAGTAGTAACAGTGGATGTGGAACTGTAAAAAACAAACAAAAAAACAAATTGCGATATGTTGGTGGTAGCTGTACAATTATGTTCATCAGTTCACCAAAGAGGAGAAAATTCAATGTCCAGCAGTCGAAACATTTACCGTGTTTCCACACAATAGCCTACTCAGTAAATCTCTGGTGTAGGACCGCGGGAGTACACCTATTACCTCATCCACATTTACGGCCTGTAACAAATTGAAGTGTAATGATTAGCTGGAGCTGTGCTCATCAATAAATAAGAGAGGATAGGCATGGCCAGTATTTTAAATGAAAGCCATCAGCTCCTACAGACAGTGATGTAATGCTTTCATAGTGAAAATCCCACTGTGTTCCTGCACAACTACAAAACACTTTCACCATGTTCGTGAGGCTCGGAGGAGAAATTGGCCGAGCCCTTGGATGAACCCTGAGCAGGAAATCAAAATCCAAATTACTACCAGTAACTGACAACAGAAAATGTGCCATTATTTTTAAACTGGAGAATTTGCAGCAGCACTAAATATATGTAAATTCAATTTAAGATTAAGTTATTCTCAACAGGTGTTCTTCTATAGACAGTGTGTATATATATAGATGAGAAAAACACAGCTTTTGATGATTATGTTTTTGTAGTCAATATTTAAATTAAAACCTCAGAAATATGCAGAACAATTATTTCGAGTGACATTTTAAACATTTTGTGTGATCACACAGCAAACAAACCAAAACGTAAATCATTAATGTTCTACCGCTGGTCAACACTGCCACACTGTGGCCAAACGATGATCAGTCAGCCATATCGTACAGACTTCCTGCTGTGTACCCGAAACTGTACTGTACAAACACAACAGACTTCCTCACCGTGTCTTAGAATAGTTCGTATAAAAACAAATTAATTCCCTTATGTCACAATGTTGAAATATTATACAAATTATGACAATTATTTTATGTTAAATTTATGTTTAATTAAAAAATGCAGCAGTCAAAATTACAGTATATTTATTTTTGCATCAAAATAAATACAGTCACAAGTGTTTATTGTTATCACATAAATGATATAAATTATTTTAGAGACTGACACTGTAAATATCTTTCAAATTATTCAAACAAACGGAGAATTATTTGAATTATAAATTATCTAGACAAATGTTAAATGGATCCCGGGGGGTGGGGGATGGGGGGGGGTTAATTTGACCTTGAACTTGTCACCCATTCATTGAATAATAACGTGTTATAGTTGTTGACAGTGCTGTGTTTCTGATAGTAGAGTGGAGTCGGTGTGAAAGTTAATGAAAGAACCTTTCTAAAGCCACGTTTGAAAGGTAAACTTTAAAAGTGGGAACACATATTTGCTTTATTTTACAGCTCAAATATTTGTTTTTCTTTTTTCTTCTTAGTCGATACCTTCCGGTGTGCTTGCCAACCCCACCTCGCCCTCCCTCTCTCTCCGTTGCTGTGACGCAGCGCGGGCGGTGCACCGCCCCCTGTCGCTCCAGCTGTTCGCACCGCTGTCCGCTCACCACCGCTGCTGCTGCTGCTGCCGCCGCCGCTGCCTCTGTCGCTGTCCGCCGTCCTTTTCCAATGCAGCCGCGACCATGGAAG